TATGTTAGAAACGAAATCTTAGAAATAGAAGAATCATTGGAAGGACAGGGGTTCTTTAATCTTACCAACGAAAACATTCCTATAAATTTGAGGGATAAATTAGATCTGGGCAAAAAATATTGTCCTTATTTTAAAATCACAAAGGAAAAAGAATTACGTATGTTCGACCAAGAAATCACTCAAATGTTTACTAACTACCTAACCTTTGAGTACGGATTAAGATCAAACTTATCGGCAAGCAATTTAAACAAAGACCTGAGAAAACTTAGGAAAACCATGAAGTTTAAGAATAATACAGTATTAGTAAACATCATAGAGATTTTTGAAAAAGTATATAACAAAACAAGAAAGCAGTTTAAAACCAACTTAGTCCAAAATTACTCTGGAAGTAAATTAGACTCAAAACAATTCGGAAAAATTTTTAATTTGGAGGAAAACAAAATCATTATCGAAGCTGATAAGAACGTTGGGTATGTGTGTATGTACACAACAGATTTACTTGATCAATATTCTAAAATAAATGTTCAACAACATTTCGGGAGAGTTGATTTATCTGAATCATGGTATATAGACAATATTAGAAAATTCATAACAGATGCTAAAATAAATCTTCCAACAGAGCTTTCAAAGATAATTGTTAAACAAGATTTCGTTTGGGATAATCAGTGTTCAGAAATAGGAGTATTGAGATTACAACCTAAGGTGTTGAAGTTAAAAGCTGTTAATTTTGAAAATATTGAACATTTAACTTCAAGAGGAATTAAAAGCTCTATGAAGGACCCAATTAAAGTCATCCAAAAGATTCTGGATAAAATTTTTAATCACCTATTATTCCATATTGAGGAGAACTTTAATCTACAGTTCGGATGCATCTCACCTTCGGTTACAGGAGTTAAAGAAGCCATTTCCAGAATTAAAGCTTCTAAACCCGGTCGGTGGGGCAAATCAATTGAAATAGAAGGTGATTTTACTGACCTATATTCTAATTGTAATGAGCAATTACTATTAGAGTGCGTAGAACAAGCATGTAAATATGCAAAGTTCCATGAATCATCTTTTTCCTATATAAAGCTTCTTATTAAATGCATAATGTCGCATTCGTATTTCAAGGAACCAACAGGTATCTTCAAAACATTAAAAGGATTCTCAATGGGAGACTGCGCAGCTGCAAGGGGAAGTGAGATTATACTAAGGATATATGAAGTTGAGATGTTTATGAAATTATCCAGGAAAAATCTGTTAAATAAGGTTTATAGATTTTTAAGATTTCGAGACAATGTTTCTTTGCATATTTCTGGTACAAATGAAGAAATATCTCAAATTATAAAAATAATCGGAAACGGGTATCCAGCCTGCATGATTTTCAATATGGAATCAAGAATTATTTTTGGCAAATTCCTGAATATTAGAATATATAACAATCCAAAAACTAAGGTTCCATTCACAACAGTCCTCAGGAAATCTCAAAACAAATACAACATTATTCCACCTAATTCTAACACCCACAAAAGGTACAAAAGAATGGCAGGATTAAGCTATTTCAAAACAGCTAGAACACATACAAGCACATCAAATGAATTGCAAAATCAATTTTCTGTTATATACTCAATACTTAGAGGTAAAGGGTTTACCTCAAAGCAGATTAAATATATGGAAAAGTTTAAGTCAAAACAAGATAAAGTTAAAAAAAGATTTTTATCTAAAACAGTGTTCGACGAGATGTCTAATAGACATAAGTATATTGGTAGTGCTTTCAAAGCCTGCAATATAGACCAGGAAAAATATTTTTCACCAATGGAAGTACCAGGAAGAAAACTAGAACAACTGATTTTTACTGTCAGAAAGATGAGAACAAAGCTTGGTTTTTAAAACCGATCTATATATATGTGAACCTAAGGATTCGTTGGATTTTAAATAAATAAATACATGGTAATTTTTAAATTATATTTTGAATTTATTTTAATGTCGTTAGTCTGTGGAGGTTGGAGCAGTATCACTTTTGCATTGCGGCTTGGTTGAGGTTATATGTTATTAATGGGCCCTTGCATGGGTCCAGTGCCAAGGGGCACTGGACCCATGCATTAAGGGGGTCCAGTGCCCCTTTTCGGTGGCACTTTTATTTATTATTATAGAAAATTTATCCTTTTATTTT